CCGTGCATATCTCTCGGGCTCGTCGAATGCTCCAGAGCATCAGTTTGATCCCATCAGCTCTCATCCGCGTTAACCATGGCTCCCAAGAAGAAGGTAGAAGAAGTGAAAAAGGTCAAATTTGGTCGACCTGGGAACACCCTTCGTATGGGTCTCGTCGGACTGCCGAATGTTGGCAAATCTACGACTTTCAACGTCCTCACTAAGGTAATACCAATAGTGACTTTATCAGCTCTCTTCTCTAAGTGTCTGTTCCCAGTGTTCGATCCCAGCTGAAAACTTCCCCTTCTGCACCATCGACCCTCATGAGGCTGTTGTCAATGTCCCTGATGATAGGTAGTAATGACGATAATAAAGAGTTCCCTTCACTCTATATGCATCCTCAGGATGGATTGGTTATCTGCTACTTTCAAGCCCAAGAGCACCATCGCGGCCGTCTTGCGAATTTGGGATATCGCTGGCCTCGTGCCCAATGCCCACGAGGGGGAGGTAAGACTGCGCACCTCGACCATTTGTCGTTTTATCTGAAATTTAATAGGGTCTCGGAAATGCCTTCTTGTCGAACATCCAGTCCGTTGATGGCATTTATCATGTATGCAGAGCTTTCACTGACGATGATATCGTTCATACGGAAGGAGAGGTAAGCGAGTTGGTTAATTTCACGATGGGTGAACAGTTTTATTTCTCCTTAGGTTGACCCCGTTCGGGATCTGCAGATTATTCAGTCAGAGCTCATCTTCAAGGATCTGGCCCACGCCACGAGTCGTGCGGCCGAGTACGCTAAGAAAGCTGAACAGAATAAGAAAATGAAGGAGCTCAAGGAGGAGTAATGTATCCTCATTGCTGCTGTCATTTTCATGTTTTTTTCCTAGATATGATGCTCTCGTGAAGTGCCAGCAGATATTAGAAAGTGGCAAGCCTCTGAGACTCTGTCCCGACTGGACTTCCAAGGAAGTGGAAATTGTCAACAAGTAGTGGTGAATTTACCTTCTCCGTTCTCGTAGACTCCCCGATGACTCAGGTATCAGTTCTTGACCACCAAGCCAACTGTGTATCTCGTCAATATGAGCGAGAGGGACTTCGTGCGTCAGAAGAACAAGTGGTTACCCAAGATCAAGGAGTGGGTTGACGCCAATGGTGGTGGCCCTATTATTCCATATTCTGCTGCCTTTGAGATGGAGTACCAAGAATGTGGTAAGTTGCGGCAAGTGAAGAGCCTCCGACATGATTCCTGGTCGTAGGTGACTCGGAGGAGGATAAGAAAGCCTACCTTGAGAAAACTGGTGCCAAGAAATCTATGATCGATAAGATCATTAAGACTGGGTATGACATATCCCACAGTGCTCGTTCGTCGCAGTGTTGGAATGAATATCCGCTTTCCTCAGCGTACCTCACGAGCTTCCTCACTAAATATAGAAGCTCATATACGAGTTATAGTAGAAGTGTACAGAAGCCGATGAGAACTGCCCAAAATTTCCCTCACAATTTCCATATTGTTACTAAGACGTGTAGATGGCCATGTACATATCTTCCTACACTGCTTGCCCATCGTGTACTTTTCAGGTACGACTATTTGGATCTTATTCACTTCTTCACCTGCGGCCCCGATGAAGTCCGGTGTTGGACTATCCAGAAGGGCACTAAGGCTCCTCAAGCCGCCGGAGTTATTCACACTGGTAACTAATGCGGCTGCTAACAAGGGCTTCATATTATTCTCAGATATGGAGCGTGGATTCATTTGTGCTGAGACCTACCGGTATGAAGACATTCGGGAACTCGGCGATGAGAATGCCGTAAGTCTCGCTTTACCGCACCTCAATGAACTCATCCTCAATAGAAGGATACCCCCCTCTGTTCAGGTGAAAGCAGCGGGTAAGTTGCATCAGAATGGGAAGAACTATGAAGTTCTCGACGGCGATATCTGCTTCTTCAAGTTTAACGTCAGTAAGGGCAAGTAGATGTTCTTCGAGTTATGTCGGTATCAAACTGTCTACGGTTTTCTCGTTGTTCCCTACGACCATCCATACTTGGTTAGCGCTATCAGCCTATGTGGCTTGGATTTCCTCAAGAGTGTTGAATTCCTAGTTGTTAATGCTATAGAAGATGAGTCACTGTTGATGATGAGTAGAAGTTAAATCGTAAAATAGGTTTTTTTCTTAGCCAAAAGGTGGTAATTTCGTCATCAGGATCTCAATCCGAAACAATCATTCTGAATGATTCATTCTTGGATAAAGTTGGTTGGTAGGAAAAAAGATATGGAAAGAAAGTTGAGTTCTTCCTGACTCTTTTAGCAAAAGTTTCCGGTTTCTCTACTCTCCATATATGTAATATCTACCAACTGTGAATCAAGGGCATAATATAAGTTGAAGAGATATCCTGTCTTAGCGGTATCGAACGGGATACCTGTGTTGTGTGACGATGCAATCGTATGGGCGGAGAAGAATGAGCTCACAGAGCTTGATAATCAGTCAAATTTGCCATGGTGAATTTAATTGTTGCTTATCTGGCCTCTCTCTGTCTCATCGGCCCCAACCTCTTCCACTCGCGCGAAGTGACCGTATGCAATACAGTTTTTACACAAACTCAGCGATTTGAGAAGGACCGACTTGTCTCTAGTTAGGAGAAGGAAGCCCTAGAAACGGCATCCTCCACTGGAAATGGTCAAGTTCTTCTGGAACAGACCGTCCACTCCGATGTTATGAAATCTATTCATGAGCATCCATCATCACATGGTGCACTGTACCAACGCAACCTTGAGAGGCCAAAAGTATAAGGTTTCGAGTAAATCTCTCTGTTGAAGCATCTGCTCTCGACCATTATCGCTGAGGAGGATCAATAGCGAGAAACAAGCTCATGTAATCGTCCCCTACCCGACGAAGCCCTCCATTGTCGCTAGGTGACGAATCGGCAGTTGGCGCTGCTAGTGTTATGGATTGACCGTCGACAACCTGAGGTGTGAAGGAATTAGTCCCCGCACAGCTGCTCATGAACACCCACCAGACGTATCGGTTCGCCAGGCTGTCCTGTTGTTGGTATTGTCAGCGTCACATTGTCTCCGCCCTGGTCGCGTGGTTGGGCAGGAGCCTCGACAGGAGCTGGTGCCTGAGACATTTGGATCGACTGGCATACATTGGGCCCGGATTAAGAGGCTCACCTCAATACAAGCGGCACACCTCAGGCCTATCCACGCCACAAAGCATCGGAAGCAAAGCTCACATGCCAGAGACAACACGAGTAAGAAGCCGCAGATGTAGCCGAAAACTAAGTAGCAATCAATGGGAATAATTCATTCGGGGAGCAGTAGAACGTACGAGAAGCGATAGTGCTGCCGTTGATGCTGAATGGAATATCCGCTTCCTTGAAGTATTCGAACTATCGAGAAAATAATTCCAGATGAGAATGGATCTGACCCCTTACCAGTGGTAACTGTTCAATGAAACTGACCAGTACATCAACCTGAGTGCTGAGGATTGTATTCATCCACAGCAGCGAGGTAAGTGTGAGCAAGCCGAGGACAAGCACCCGCACTACACACGAGTAGGCGTATATCCTCACATACAGAGGACTGAAGCAGAGACCACAATAAAATACGTTTCACCATATCAGAACTCCCGAAGAAGCCTAGGATTCATTCTAATGGTGTATGTACGAAAAGAATAACGGAATGCCTTCGGAGTAAATTTTATCACAACAACAATAACAATGACGATCGGCTACAGATCAACGATCATCTGTGATGGACGCGAATCGATGCCCCACGCACTTCTGTTGATACACGCCAAGCAGTCCTAGACCGGCCATAATAACCGTCGATGCTGTCAGACCCGAGTTGGCTGCCTGAAAGTGCAATATAGCACGAAACGATAACGAAGGTATGAGGATCTCACCTGAATAGTATACGCCGCATCATTCGTGGAGTCCATCATCAGAACCGCATGTATCGGTCCGCCGTAATAGTCGGCATAACTGGATACTTGAGAAGCCTATCATGGAAGAGCTGATCTCCACACAGACAACTAGCACCTACCTGAATGCCTTGAAGTGCTGTAGTGACGAGACCGATCAGGCCGAATACCAAGTCCATTGCTGCGAACACTTGAAGCGCGAAGGTGAAGGTGCAGCCGCAACAGAAAGTCGAGTCCGGGGGTTCTTTGACGTAAACCACCCGAGGTGCTGCAGCATTCGCATTTTCTGCTGGCATTTTAAACTAAGCCGATTCCGTCGCCCGACTCACGCACACAAAATAGACACGAATACAACTATCAGAAACAATCTACAACGGAATTATGAGACCATGATGTCACTCGAGTTGTTCGTGGCTCTGGACGCGTTCCCTTCATCTCAAAGGACACGCCCTTTGTGTCGGTCTCACTGTGGACCACACCATATCTGGAGCTGAGGTTTCACCAGCCTCCATGAACTGTTCGTGTTCATGATGAACATGAGGGCGCCGAAAGACCACCCTCTTTGGGATGTCGCTCGAAAAACAGGATAAACTAACCTGCTTTCTATCCACTTATGAGATGCCCGCCGAGCGTTCTTTAACATCCAAACATCCCTACAGCCGCGTACTTTCCAGTCTTCTCTAAGGTGTTGCTATGTCTGGCTATGATTGGACTCCAATTGGATTCCAAGGCAGGGGTCAATTCGATGTCGAAGCGATTGCGTGACCTACACTCGCGATAGCAAGAAAGCGGGGTTTAGCAACTAGTAGGTAACCAGCTGCAGGTAATAAGCACCAGATGCAGATCGTCCAAGTAACTCGGACCGCTGAACCTAAAGAAAATGAGACGAGGATATCCAGCAGCATCTAAAAGGGCTGGTAATGTAATGTTCTCCCCACTAGCTTTCTCGCTAAGTGAGCGCCAACGCTGCCACTTGTGCCTTTAGTCCATGGAGTTTACAACGAAAAGCATTATCAGCAGTGGCACTCAAGCACCAGAATGAGAACTTAGAGAGCAGTTGGGGCAATCAAGAGTGCACGCCAGACTCGTTTCCTGTTGATGACAGATTTATCCCGATAATATGAACACATCCTTTCTTTACGTTGTTGTTCTTGCCATGATCGCAATGCCATCCCAAGCCCGGTTGCGGGCCACAACTTGCGGCGGTCGCGGAACATCGTCATGTGTCTGGCTGCCTTGATGCTGAGGTTTTCATCATAATTTGCGAGCTTGATGATAATGTACTTCACTTGGATTCCCTTTCTGAACTCTTCCCTCAACTTTTGGCCGATGTGTCGGTGGTACACTGCTGCTGCTAGCGTTCCACCCATTTTGCTTGAGTAGGTTATCATGCTTGTAGCCATCAGACAGTCCTCGATATGGGCCAGCAGTTTGCCGATGTCGAATCTCTCGACGAGAGACTCTCGTTATATCGAAAATGATGTCGTCACTATAGTGAGAGAGCAGAGATACTGCTACCATCCAGCTTGGCAGTGCTCTGATGTAGTTGCTCATAATGAAGGCTGCCTCGGCGTTTCTTGTCTGAATATCATGACAGCAAGTGTCGCTCAACTAACGGCTCAGGGCGGAGAGCTGCTCTGCGCCCTAGGGTATGAGTTCACCACCAGAGTACTGGGCTATGTCTTCTCGACCGAGCCAAGCTCGTGAAATGCGACACGGTTCGTATCGATGAGCCCCGCGTTACGTGCGCACGTGCGCATCCAAACTCTGGTTTCCAGAAGATTATTGCTCAGAGCAACTCGCCCCTGGCGGGCGCGATTTTTTGGCGTGCCTTTCTGTAATGCTGCATGGGACTCGAAAGACTACGTGAATGGCATGGAGACAGTCCCAGTGGATGTACTTCCCAGCCTCGGAATTTCCTCACGCACACATGTCGCTGAGGTGGAGCGTATCTTTCCACACTCGCATGTCGATGAACTTCGTGGGAAAACGAGTTGATCGACCGAAAATCGTCTCCGCCCACGTCGTGTGGCACACAAGACGATCGGGTACTTGGAGCATCTAATACGCGCTCTCTACTAACAGCAAGGGTTCTCATCTACACCGGTATAAGCCGCCAGCAGCGCGAAGACTGCCGACGATAACAGTATTATTTTAGCAGTACTGGTGAGGAAAGACTACTACTGCGTGCAAACCACCATGGAATCACTGTCGTGGTATCGTCCACATCGTTCCTTGAGCAAACTGCAGCAGTTTCGTATAAACATTCACGAGGCTTGCCCCCGGGGCCCGGGGACAGTCCCTGTTCCTGAAATTATTTCCCCCACCTCTGACTTCCGATCCAACTCCATGTACTGCATGAACTGAGCTCGTTCTTGTCCCGTTTATACACGCCTCTCCTGAAATTTCGCCTCTCGGAAAGTACTCACAGTATTCAAGATAAATACTGCATGGGCGGGTGTGATCTGACAATGATAGAATAGCAAGCGATACACAGAGCAATTTTCAAACTATCTCCGTATATCATACATATACGTAATACGGTTATTATACAGTATAATAACCCGTCGCGAATCCCACACCCAAGTAAAAGTTTTATACTACCATATCACTTGTGACTGAATCACAAAGGCTCTGTACATACTGCACCCCGGCACCTAGAATCTTTCAACCCATACATCCACACGAAAGTCGGTGCCGTTGAAAAAGCACATATGCTGCAAAGAGCGTATATGTACATTCGCGTATTGGCCAATGGAGGTAGAATCGCGCATTGCGGTCACCTTAGAGATAATCGGCTAATGCACACATGATAGGAGTCCAACGCACTCGACAGCCGAAGGTTGAACGAATACTAGGATACAATTAACACTGAGCTTCAACACAGCATGACCACACGAGTGAGTTTTTTCCGCACACTGTAGACATCCGCGCGACCTCAAAAATTTGAATCTAATTTCGCGCATTCCGGATAGTACTTGACATTCATACACGAAATTTCTCGTAAGTGCCTGTCCAACAACGCCGAGAGCTCTCGCTCGACCTTGAGACTTTCAGCAGTACCGATTTGAGCGGCAATTACATCAGTATCCAGATGCATTTTTCGATAGTATACTCGGCCACGATCAACCATCAAGGGTCTTATGGTAGCTCATTATCTTAGGTAGCCCCAAGTTAATGGAAAGCGAGGACAATAGCTTAATTATGATATACTGAAAGGCGGTTCGCACCCGAAGGACCAATGAGCAACAGTCAAAAATGAACCAACTAATGAATGCGGACAAAGAGCCTACTACGCTTCAAGTCACACGCTCGACGATTATGACATCCTGGAAGGCGGTTCAGATCCGGAGGACCAATGATCAACACTTGAAAAGGAGTCAACTACCGAGTGGGGACAAAGAGCCTACTACGCTTCAAGTCACACGCTCAACGATAGTAGCCAAACTCGAGATCTGATTGACAGGTTCTACTGGAGACATACGCAGAATGCGACAACCATATAACCTCATTTATCTCCTTCTGACCGAGGCACTCGGACCTACTCCGATATGTGATCATTTTACACATTGCAATGAGAGACGGGATGATACCCACAGCTTTGGGTGCATTGGAAACCATGAAAATCACCTTGGAAATCATTAGCCCGCCTACGCGCACTACTAATTTCACGCTGGTCACCAATTCGGCGCGCGCCATTTTTTTGGACGCGCATCTTTCCCACTTCTCTGACGCACCCAGTTGACCAACATCGCCTGAGAATCATCTCGCGTCTTCAAAATATGTTAGAACAACTCGAGGCTCTCGAATCGAGAGTCGATGAAGTGTTTCTCGAACACCAACACTACTCAGAACTACACGCGTATTCCATGATATTCTACTCCAGTGTGGTAAAAGGTCAACCACATGTGTTGGTGACAATACGAAAATCCTGGGGGAAATTTCGCGGAATTCTTATCGGTTGATGTACACTCCTAACCCAATCGTACATAAACTCTTACTACGACTAGTGCGTAAACTCATGACCTCAGCTGCGAAAAGCGAACATATATTGCCACACTTTACTACCCATAGCCCAATCGCATTTAACTAGACTCAACAACCACCCACGTGTTGATCATAAGCTATGTTACTGACCTCCATTCTGCTAGTCGCAGAGCAATACCCGACCAAGATAGAAGTAGAGATACTTCCTCTTGAAAGGGTTTTTTCTAAACGCAATAAGACTTGCTAAGAATGTCGAGTAAACAGAGATGAGACGACACTTAGAAACCGAGAGAGTTATTCCGTTAAGTCTCTCGATCAATCGTGTCGTAAAGAGCGTGCGAATCCCGCATAAGGGATGCACGAAAAAGGCTCAATTCATATGAGCAAAAAATAGGAGAAAGTTTGGCTTCAGAATAAGAAGGAACATGTTCTCGGTGAGGGAGAACCTAATCACTCGTCTCCTTCTCATCGACAACCGCCTCTCTATCATTTCGACGCATTTGGAGCTTTCTCAGGTATGCCGATACAGGACCCAGCAAACCGAACTGGACGAATAAATGCTGAAGTACTATATATCCGACCAGTATCCAAGTCATCGCAAGGCGATAGCTTCTAGGATAGGCGTTGTTAGGCCCATCATAACCAAGTGTTGAGATCTCAGGTGATGACCAGGGGTACTCCTCAATAGCAATGTCGGAACCCGGACCATTCGGTCTGCAATCATATGCTGGATCGGGAATCCAGCTGTCCATTGCGGGAGTCGACAACTGGTAAGTGCGAACTTGGGGACCCAAGAAACAACCACCAATATCGCCAACAGAATACTGCGAGATAAGGGGAATGTCTTTGGTCTCGAGCGATGATCCTGTGTCACAGTTGACACGATAGACACAGGGGAAATCGCTCGGCTCTTCCCATAGCAGACAGAATATCATAACGAGGAAACAACCATACAGGATATTGATTGCCCAGTTAAAGACTATGTTCTTTCTGAAGTGACCACCATACGTAGCAACATAAGCTTGTGTGACGAGCACAGTAAACAACATGAACACTTGAGGAGGAGCGTCGTAGTTATCACCCTTCTTCATCCAGTCTTTAGGAGGGATATCAATGTCTAGTGTGTTCACATATTGATACCAGCTCGAGTTGTAGGGAGACCATAGAACAGCATATGTGATGATCTGGAAGGTATAATAGGAGACAATTGGCACAGCGCAAGCAAGGATGGTTCTCCATCCCAATAAGGAAGCTGTAGGGCGGAACTTGGCCAACTTCTTAGTCGGGCCAGATAAAGTCATCGTCCATACCATAATTACACCAATCATTATATCCATGGTCAACCACACCCATTCGCCGACGTTAATGTTACCAATGATGGTACCGGATAGACGAATACAGGTTAACACATATCCATAGACAATAAAGAAGGAGTAAGTGGCCAACTGAGTAGTAAGGCAAGCGCGACCTTCACGAATCATATCAACAACTGTAAAGAGGGAGCGCCCATCACGACCAGAGCTGAATGGCGATACCATAGAAGCCTCGGCATCAGATAAGGCCATACCAGCATGAGCAGCACGAAGAGCCCCACAGTCGTTACCACCGTCACCACACATACCAACAACAAGCTTACGAGACTGAAGGTACTTCGTTACGTTAACCTTATCCTCTGGCTTCATACGGGCAAACACGAAAATGTCTTCCCATATGAATTCCAACTTCTCTCTGTGAGAATGTAGGTATCTCCATGCACCTTGTGTGACAGCTAGCTGATCAACACCAGGAACAGGTATGCATCCCCGTTCACCAGTGTCCGAGTCCGACCACACTATCTCATTAATCTCCTTGTTCAGATCTCCAATAAGTATCCTCCCTTCTTTAGCGTCACCATCAAGAATATGGCATTGCTTAGCAATAGCAACACCCGTTAATACGTTATCACCAGTACACACGACACTACGTACGTTACCATCCTTGAGAGCTTGAATAGCAGCGGGCGAATCATGCTTCATCTCGTTACGGAATAGCAGCAGACCACACATTCTCAGACCATCCTCGAGCTCATCGCGACTTGTCGAAACGACTTCCTCATCAGAGATCGAACTCGGCATAGTCTTGATGGCCATGGCTAGAGTGTAGAAGTTGTCAGCAGCACATCCCTCAGAGACTGTAACGAAGTCAGCAGGGATAGAATCTTTAACAGAAAGAGCATGAATTCGCTCATAAGAACCCTTCACGATGACCATAACTTCCTTGGTGTCCAAATCACGGACAACCGCGCCTGAGGTCATACGTTTGTGGTCGAAGTCAAGAGCTTTCACAACCTCCAGCTTATGAGAGGCAACGCCAGCTGGAGACCTAATAACACTGCTTCCCGAATCAGGATCAGGCAATGACCAACCAGTAGTAGTTAACATAGCAACATCCACATGATTACCCACTAGACTACCATCACGGAGCGATGTGACAGTGTGACACGAGGCCAAACCATATTGCAACACCAAGGGAACCTTTTCGGCCACAACATGATGGTTCGTATCGTCACCAACAGGCAGATCATTGTCGAAGACCACGCGATCGAGGAAAGCACCGGATGCCAGGTCCACAGGGATCACCGCCGCGAAGTCCATCCCATCCTTCGTAATCGTTCCCGTCTTGTCGAACACCATGGTGGATATCTTACCAGCGACGGGTATTCTCCCAGGTTGCAAACAGGCGATCTTCTCGTTCCTCTCGAGCCTCTTGGATGACACTGATTGTCCCATGACCATCGACACTGGGAGCATGGGATTCATAGACTGTGCAATCGTGTTGAGTATCTGTAATACCGTAACAATCCATGATCCCAGATCAGTGAGGGTGGCATATAGCACAGTTATCAACATAGCATAACAGAACATAATGGTATAAATTATTGGCAGTTGATCGTTATACTTGAACCTGACAGAAATGGACACTTCAGCCAGGATACGTAAGGAATGACAGAACCTACCTCACAGACTGGGGGAACAGGACCATTCGGACCAGTTGACCCTTGCTCGTGAGAGCACCCACGGCAGTACACAACATCACAGCCTTGCCGTCAAAGGAACCAGTAGACTGCATACAGATCGTACCTACAACCCAAAACGAGTGAATAGATCAACTATCGAAAAAGCAAGACACAATAACTTACCAGCATATGCACAATTCTTCTGACCAACCGAAGCACCAGGAAGATCCTCAAGAGGGAACTTCTGGATAGGCATTGGCTCACCCGTCAACATCGACTCATTAACAATGACAGTACCGCTTACAACGATACCATCGCATGGTAGTGGATCTTGCTCTTCGACACGAACCAGATCACCCAGAACTACATCCTGGGATCCTACTTCGACCCACTCCCCGTCCCTAAGGACGTGCACACGAGTCTCAAGCTTAGCCATGTTAGCGATCTTCTTCTGACTGACTCGAACGATGAACAAGGCTCGGATGAGACCAGCACCAAGCATCATAGCCAACCAGATGATGCCGATGTTCCAAGTAGAGAAAGCGACATAAGACCAAGCACCGATGGATTGGAAGACGTATATGACATCACAGAACTCCACCAAGATGCTCTCGAGTATTCCCGGTACCCTAACCCTGATAGCATTCGGACCGGTAACCTTCTCCATATCATTGGCCTCTTCGAATGTCAACCCACCAGCCTTGAGCAAAGCGTGAGCTTCATCAGCGGTCTTCTCAGCAGCGCCTACTGGACGGAAACGATCGTCATCCTCATCGTACAGATAGCGTACACAGGTGTACTCGAACCCACGATGCTTGGTCTCCTTATCGACCATAACAGGTACCAGAGTAGTGCACGAAGCTTGCTTATACTTGTTCTTAATGTCGTTCCAACCATCGACGAGCTGCCTCAAGACACCAGGAACAGCTTCATCATCGGTCATTCCAGGATCAACCATATCGCTCTCGTCAATGGCGTCTACTTCCTCCTCAATAAGGACGTGCGTGGCTTCCCTCATGCTGACCTCAGGCAACATAAAATTGACTCGCATTACGTGGAAGAACGTAATCATTATTGCAGCCAATACGTGGAAGAGAACGAATACGTAAAGCCAGGGACCCATGACACCATTCCAGTCAGTACCCCAGCTTGTAAGAACATCAGGGAAATACGAGATGATCGCGAAGAACACCATGTTAACACCAGAACAGATAAGAACCGCGCACCACCCTACGAGTAGGAAGGAACCTATCCAGCATCGTCTATGTCCCGACTGAACGAATAGTCGCTCGCGTTCATCAGGACTGTGGAAGGTCAGCCGACGCAGACCCATCGCGACGGCCTTTTCACTCAGTTCGCTCTCATCTGCAAAGAGCCGGTTAGTACGTACCTTCCGATACACCACAAAAGCAATTGTGGCTAGTATAAGAAATAATAACACTGCACTCCAGATTACAACGACTGTGACGCCGAAATGCATTGAGTTTATATTGTTTGTTAAGAGAGGAAAAGCAACTGAAAAACAGTACAATCACGACAGAATTCGACCTCTTCCTCACTTGAATGAAACCCCAAAGTATTCATCATGGAAAAGCATAGTAGACAGATCACACAATATAGCTTAAGTACTCTAACACAACTCAACTTGCACAAAATCCGTAGTTCGGGACCTCGCTTCTTGATGATGCAAATAATGACTGTGAATTCCCGGTGTCACCAGCATGCTTTCGACGTCGAACTCTCATACATCAATTCGTCTGACCATCATTTCAATCGAGCAAGCGTGTATGTTCTGAGTTTGTTCGGAATGGGGAATCGTGACTGCGCCCATTAAAGGTCATTACAGTACAGCTCATGGGCAAAATCGGGACTTGAGTACCTTTCGGTTCTCCACAAATGCCTGAGGCTGGGCGTTCATGAGGAATAACCACGAAAGGAGTGTACTTTAGACTCTGCCTCGGACGCTCGTATGTGACAACCTGCAAAGTCGCTCAGCGTTCAGCTGGGACAGCGGACGCAGGATTTCTGCACGCATGCACAGCGCAGTTTACCGCAAACAACCAGGAGAAGTTTGCCAAACAGCACAGCGTCAAGTTTCTAAGAAGGAATAAAGGCGTACCAACTCGTTCGCCAGGGCAAACTCGAGTTCCAAGTGGTGCTGAAAAGGTGTAAAGATTTGAACGGCGGGTGGTATGATACATCGACGAAATTGGAGAGCAGCTTGCAAATGTAGAGTAAATTCCTCGTAGAGTACTTCATTTCTTTTGACTATGATCATCGCCTTGGGCAATGGCCGTCATGGTTTTGAATTCGTGAAACTGCGGAGGTGTTTCGGGAATCAAAACTAGGAAGGTTTTAGTTGGAACGTCCTGCCATATTATAGTTGTGTATAATCAGAGGATATCTGTGTTCCCAACGCCGAATCATAATTTCGATAATCTGTGATTCATCCGAAGCTCTGAAGCAAATCTTGCTGAAAATACTCTCCCGAGGAGTGTCCCAACATTCCAGCTGATCAATATTTCATCCTTCCCCAACTCGCGCCTATTCAGCTCGGATGGCAAGGAGTTTCGTCTCCACAAGGAAATCGCATGTCAGTCTCCAACAATCGAAGCGATAGTTCAAGGTTGGCCGTCTTAGAACTGCAGTCTTCATAGAATTCGTTTTCACCTGGCACGTTATCGCATCACGAACCTTAACTGAAACCTCCACAGAAATGGCAACTCCCTTTGTACAAGTCCAGGAACTTTCGCCGAGACCGCGGATGGTATCATAAATCTGCCCACAATACAAGGCTATGTGCTCTCTTGTGTAGCTGACTACCTCTACTGCCCTCACAAGTACACTGACTCTGAGGTGATACGTCACAACACCCGAGAGATTGAGCGTTATTCGTGCTCTGCCTTTGCACCAATTCTCTCCTAGAGACCTATCCCGGACCTCCAAATAGCGCTCGCGGTTCTGCTGGCATCCGGCTATCTCAGCATAAGCATTCCAGGTAGTGTCATATTATGATCATCAACCCACTGCTGCATTCTGGAGTTGCTTCGTTGTGACAGAAACCGAATAGAACTTCCCCAAATTTGCTCAGAATTTTCATATTGTCGCCAACATATTTTGCTGACCATGTACATACTCTCCCACACAGTCGACTAATCTCTCTCTTCACCTCATCCTCGTCAGTGAGAGCTACCTCAGTAACCGCTCCAATCGATCCCAGTTGTCCTTCCCACGTGCTGGTGGATGGACGTCCAAAGTCCTCTTGCTAGTTCTGGGTAGTAAGAGAGCGGCAACTCAGAGGTTATTTTACGCACATCGTTATTCGAGTACTTCGTCCCTCACAGCGAGAACTGATAACTCGCAAAACTGTTTATTGTTCTTCCAATTGATAACTTAGCCGGTAACTCATTGTCGTCATTTCTTCCTGGTACAGATTAGTAGAGAACTTGTGTGTTTGTATGAGCTCAATGGATTGCTCGAATCACTGATTCGATCTACACCTCCTCCGCACAAGCACAGTCATCGGCAT